AAGAAAGCTGCTACACATTTTAGGTCATATTTTACATGTTACACATTTTAGGCATCATTCCCACACTTCGGTTTGAGCCATTTTCTAGTTTGACTGATTTTAATATTAATCTAAAATGTGGAAAACAGTAATAATAAAGAACAAGCAACTAAGTCCAAACTTTTGACTTGTAGTGTAAGATTAACCCAGCATTTTTCTGTAACTGAATACAGTAAAATGGAGAGGCCCTGCACATCAGCTTAAAAAACAAAACACATCCAAAGGTCCTCACACTTCATTTTTCCTGTGCCTCTCTCGGGGAACCGGTCTATACTGACCAGTCGGCAGACTTATTGAAAGAGCTGCCACAAAAGTAGGTCACGCGGTTGGTCAATGGTATGGATTTCTGGGTCTGTAGCATATCTCACACAATCGCCAGAGAGAGAGAGAGAGAGAGAGAGAGAGAGAGAAAGAGAGAGAAAGAGAAAGAGAGAGAGAGAGAGAGAGAGAGAGAGAGAGAGAGAGAGAGCGTGAGTGAGTGAGTGAGTGAGTGTGTAAGTAAATTAACAGAAATCAGAGCAAAGAGCCACATCCCCTGCTGCTTCCTCTTCTGTCCTTCTTTCTTTCTTCCCTTCATGCGTTTCAATCCTCTCTTCCATCCCTACATTATTCCCATTTCATCTCTGTTCCTGGAGGCACGGCTCAGGCTCATATCAGAAATCAGAGCTGGTGTAGGAGTGTGTGTTTACCTTTATGAGTTACAAAATGATCCATGTTGTGTTTGCTTATCCACAGACTGTCAGTATGTACTATTAAGGATCAATGGACAGTATATTTATATGTTTGAGAATATGAATGTGTGTGTTTAAATACGTGTGTGCAGTTTTGTCTAGATATGTGTGTGTGTACATGGGAGTTGAGGTAAGTTTATCTTTGGATATGTTCAGAATTGAATACTATTTCTGAAAGGAAGTAGCATGCAGTGTGTATACAATGCAGTACTGTGTCAGTTTTTTGTAGGCGTGAGGACTCGAATGATGCAACATTTGCCAGAACGTGCAACCAGAGTGCACTGTGTGAAATACTGTATCCCATAATGCAATGCGATCAACTTGACATTCTATTATGACAAATGAACAAGAACAATATGAACCGAGTTCTCTTTTGACTTCATTATTTGATCGGGCTGTCAAAAGTTAAGACATTTTTTATGCAAAATGGGATTAAAAAGGCAAAATAACGATTTATTTATGAGACGATAACTGGATGGTGCTTGCTGAATTAAACATGCACATAATAGAGTTAAAGTGACAACAATGTAGCTATTAGAAATGTTCATACTGATTTTGGAATATTTTTTGGAATACTTTAACTGTAATTACAAAAATTCTATTTTTTAAAATACTTTTTGGAGTTTTGAACTGTTATTATAATAATTCTCACAATAAAAATGAAAGAAAGTTGGTGTTCTATTTTTTAAATACTTTATTGGAGTTTTTAACTGTAATTTCAATAATTCTAGCAATAAAAAAATGACACACACACACATACACACACAAAGTAAAATGTAGCTTGTTTAACCAGTTTAACCTATTAAATAAATAAATAAATACATAAATACATACATACAGATTTCTAAAATAATCGTATTCCATTTTGAACATAGCCATGGTGTGTATCTGTGTATGGCTATGCCACAACGAGCATTACTGCCCGAGTCTCCAGGAAATATTTCTACATGAATATGCATCCACATGAATGCGTATTTGTGAACATTTTGCATTTGTGTGCGTTGCAGTGAGTAATAGCTGCTCTGTTTGTACTCGTGCGTGCCTGTGTATTTAAACGTGAGCGAGAGAGCAGCCGTGGGTGTGTACACACACCCTCCCGCTGATGAGGCCCAGTGCCAGAATCAATAGAGTGCTTCTGAGGCATCATACAGTAGTACGAGAGAGGCCAGAAGAGATTTTAATAAATGCAGTGTGCATGAGAGCCTGGCCTGGCCTGTCACTGCCATCACTACCCCCCCCAAAAAAAAAAATCTGTAAAAAATTCTGTAAATAAGAATCACAATATAATAACTTCAAAAGCTGCATCATCTTTTAAAATAGTGAAACTCACAAGGCTTTTCATTTTATGTTAGCATAGCTATATTAATACAGATATGACTTGCTAAAGGTTCCGACACATTTATACACTACCGTTCAAATGTTTGTTTAATATATATATATAACATAAAAAGCACTTTCCTAAAAACCATCAAGCTGTCAAGTGAAGTGGAAAAATGAGAGAGATTACTGCATAAAGGCCGAGAGGGGGGACAAAGAGAAAGAAAGGAAAAGAAATGGTGGGATGGCTCAAGATTCTCCTGCAGATAAAACACATAAAACGATCCAATGACTTTTCTTCATCTCCAGATTTATTTATACTTCTTTCTCTCTCTGTCTATCTCTCTCTTTCTTTGTTTGTTTACTTAAGCATTTACTATTCACAATAAAAATGAGTTTATCTTTGAAGTGGCCATGATGGCTCATACTGTACATATGACAAGTTAAAAATCAGTTTCCCCTAGAGAAAAATTTGATAATTGGTAAAACAAATGGAGATTTCTACTTATACTGTAAATATCAATCAAGCATCTCAGATTGTTATAGAGTTATTATAGTTAACTAAAATTAAAACCTTCAAAAAAAATACAAATAAATGTTGCTACTTGAAATAAAATAAATGTAAACTGAAATAAAAAAATACAATAAACTAGCAGTCAATTCAACATTTCTCATTTTCTAAGGTAAACTAAAACTAGACCTGAAATAATATATTTAAATATACAGACATATTAAAACAAAAAACTTTCAAAAAATGACAAAAACACATAACAAAATTACTAAAACTTTAAGTAAAATTAAAAATGAAAAAAAAAATCACTATAATAATACCTCTGATACTTAAATTATACAGATTGTACTTCCCACAAACAAACAAATAAATAAATACCCCCATAATCTCAATGTTTCAAAATAGGTCTCAAAAAATGTCTCAAACAATGCTCAGATCTGCCAAGAAAATTCTAAGATCTTAATATGTGCTCCAACATTTCTCATCAAATTTTTCCAAACCCAAATTATCTCAGCTATACAATCCATATTCATTTTACAGCTCTATTCCCCCATTTTTTAAAAATATATTTCTCTTAAGAAATTGTAAGAGAAACATCCGAGACAAAGACTAAAATGAAACCCAACCAAGAACTCTATTAAGTCTCCTGAGCTCTGAATGAGCAACCTGAGCGATAAAACGCTCCTCTGGTTAATTAGTATTCTTATGAAACATTTGTGATAGGCAGAGCCTTCGATTGAATTTATTTGCAGCTGCTGCGTTTGCATTTCTTGCGAATAGATGTGCTCATAATAAGACGATCAAGGGTTTTTCTTATTACAATCAACATCTAACATGATGACTTACACATTCATGAGGTTGGGGGGAGGGCGAGCAATACATGTATGGCTGTGTGAGCGGTTTTACAGAGTGAATATTCTCTGCACTAAAAGAAAGGAAGTGGAACTCCAGCAAAGAAACTCCCCCTGCATTCAACATCTATGATGTCATAATCACTCGCATCAAAGGCATTCTGCTCGCCACGGCAACTGTCATTCTCCCTGGAGGCATCATTAAAACAGAACACACCAAACCGAGCAACTTCAAAACACTCACACACACTGCAACCAAATAATGTTAGAGCGGGACAGCAAGTTTGTACTAACCTAAAGAGGAGTGACGGAGTAATACCCACACACGCCTGTAGACATTCATACGGCATGCTCGCACACACACACACACACACACATGCTCAGAGACACTAAAAGACACTGTAAATAGGACAGCTCTTATGTAGTGCTGTGTAGTTCTTGCCCTTGGGTACAAGGCTCTTCCAGAGAGAAAGAGAGAGAGATGGAGAGGAAAAGGAAGAAAGAGTATGAGAAGCGAGTGGACGAGATTGAAAACGGAGCCAAAAAAGAAGAATTAGCACTTTTTGGCCAAAAAAATAAAAAATAAAAATAAAAAACACAAAAAATAACTCATAAAATGTATGTAAATTCGGGTAGTTGACATATAATACATCCATGCACTTTTTTATTTTATTTTTTAAATATATGTCTAAATACATATATATATATATATATATATATATTTATATATATATACACACTACCGCTCAAAAGTTTTGGATATGTAAGACTTGTAATGTTTTTTAAAGAAGACTTTTATGCTCATCAAGGCTGCATTTATTTGATCAAAAATACAGAAAAAAACTGTAATCTTGCAAAATGTTATAAAATAATGGTTTCTATTTTAACATACTTTAAAATATATTTATTTCTGTGATGCAAAGCTGAATTTCCATCAGCCATTACTCCAGTCTTTAGTGTCACAGTGAAGTAAAAACAGTAATATTGTGAAATATTATTGCTATTTAAAATACATTTTATATTGTAGTACATTTTCAAAATGGAAATTTATTCCTATGATGGCAAATCCAATTTTTCCAGTCATCAGTGTTACCTGATCCTTCAGAAATGATTCTAATACACTGATCTTGCGCTCAAGAAACACTTTATTTATCATTATAAAAGTTAAAAACGTTCTGCTTAATATTTTTGTGCAAACCATGGCATATTATTATTGTTATTATTTTAGAAATCTTAATAAATGAATACTCGTATTCTGCAAAATATATTAATAATAATAAAAATAAAAATTACTGATGCCCCCAAAATTTGAACGATAGTGTACATTATAATATATAAAATAAATATATAATGTTTTTTTAAGTACAAATATTCCATGTAGGCTCTGAATTATTATGAGCTCATAATACTGCATGCATAATAAAAAAAAAAATGCTATAATGGTTTTTATATAGAGTTCAGCATATATATGTCAACTACCCATTTGTACTGGTGTGCATGTGTTTTGTTATTTGCGTGTGTTTATGTGCCAGTTTGACCGTGATGACCTACCCCAGGTAGCGTCTTCTGCTCGTGGAGCGCGGTCTGAGCTTTTAGCGCCGATTCTCTTGCACAGTATGTGAGGAAGGCACAGCCTGAGAGAGGAAATAACAGAGACAGAGATGAATTAAAGACAGGTCAGAGAGGTTGAGACACAAGCAGGTGTCCGTTTGAGCAGAGCTGGGCTCTCTACCTTCATTTTGTTTTCTCCAATCCAGGAAAGAAAAACAATGTTATTACATTTGTGCAGTAGACACAGAGACATAAAATACAGAAGAGAGATGAAGAGGTTCTGAGAGCACATGCCCACAGCCACACACACTCACGCTCCCCAGAGAAAGACGGAGAGTGAGCGCAAATACAAGTGTGTGTGTGTTTGTGGAAGAAAATATGCTGCTGCTTTTAATTTTCTGACTACAAGGCCATGCTGGTATCAACATTTAACAGAGTATGTTTTTGTATGCTTGCTCATTAATTTGACAGACAATGAGGATGCACTGTTTAAGAATTTTTGGCCAATGAAAAAAATGCTGATCAAAAAAAAAAAAAAAGTATTCACACTAAAGCCCTATTCGCACGAGATTAGTATTATCTGGGGACCTTGTGTGATTTTGAAATTACCCCCCCACATCTGAATTTCGTGTGGTGCATTCGCAAGGGATAAGCGAAGCCTGTGATTTTACTCGAATTTACTGACTTGTCTCCCGGATACCTGGATGTCAAGGCTTTGAGAGTCCCGTTCTATGGTCCAGATGGATTTAAAAAAAATAAACTAATATAGTTTCGTGCGCTGTGTCATTTACATTTCACCAGGTTAAAATAATATCTCAAGCTTTATGCTTGATTTATTTGTAACACATTAAACCCTTTTCAGCTTTCTCTTTCTGCAAATTGTATGGTGTAGCGATATGATGACAGCACCCAAAATACTATCAAACACTCCAACGCAGCTCCATTCTTCACGAAAGATGGATAAAAAGGCGCACAGCAAACACAAAAACCTGGAAATTGATATGCGACCTGCTAAATGATGGCCGAATCACAGAGATGCCGATTCGCACAGGACTAATATTATCACAGGACCTCGGTGTGCTGAGCAATATGATAGGTCATTTGCGGGGGAATTTTTACTTTACAAATTACAGACATTGCCGATTCGCACGGGATTAAGATTACAGACAACCACCGCAATTATTACAAATGACTGGAAGTCACCAGGTAATACTAATCCTGTGCGAATAGGGCTTAAGACTCTCCAGAATTTTAAGTACAATCAGGCTTGAAAAATGTAATGTACAAAAAACTGCTTAGTTTGAAATCACAGCTTGAAATTTATATATATATATATATACCGTATTGACCCGAATATAAGACAATGTTTTTTTCTTGGAATACATCTGAAAAAACGCGGTCGTCTTATATTCAGGGTCTAGACTTTGACATGTCAATAATACACCCACAACAATAGGTGGCGTCAAATATGCATAAAACGAGTGTGCCATGAAATACGTAATGTAATGCGTGTTGTAAAGATCGCGAGAAAAAACTAAAGAAAAAGAAAACCTTACAGCTGCATGAGTCGTGACTGTCACGTTAGCCTGATGGGACCAAACTCCCTTTGTGATTTTAAAACGTAAGACAGTTCCCAGATTTGAAGTCTACAGTAAGATTTAACTTCTACTGTTAATAAGATATTGGTGGGCTACTATTAGATGGATAGCCTAAATGTCCTAATTCAGATGGGCTACCTGTTTTGTTTTTTTAATGCTATATCAAAAAGTGTATATTTTTTAAATGTGATTGTTGGTACATTTGACCAGTTTTTACCATACTTACCATTAAAATAGGAAAAATATGCAATATGGAAATAATTGAAGACAAAATGTGTTTTACTGAGAAAAAACAAGATTTGTTTTTTAAAAAGCCTTTTTCGAAAAGGTACATCTGGAAAAAGGGGGGTCGTCTTATAATCAGGGTCGTCTTATATTCGGGCCAATACGGTATATATATATATATATATATTGAATATTTTCATGTAACATTCGTATATGATTTAACATTTTTTAACATTTGCAATAACAGCTGGAAAACGGCATGACATCATATTCATAAATATTCTTTTGCTTGAAAGCAATGCAGTGTAAAACATTAGTCACATGAATGATGCTTCTGGGACAATAACAAGTCATTTGTGAAATTTCAACAAACTTTTAGGCAGCTAGGTAACATTATCTTGTGACAAATGTGCAGAATTCACAACAATAATGTTCAATACATTCCATATCCCCAAATATTTAATTTCCGAGACCTAACAACATGTTCATGTATAAATCAACAATTGGTACTAATATACTGATTTACCAATACTGATATGGTGCACCTTTAAAAAAAACAGTATCCAAGATTTTGCACAAACAGAAAATCATACAGAAATGCTAGCAGATGCGAATGAACAAAATATGCTGCATGATAAAAGGATAAGCCAAAACAACAACAACTAGGCCTAAATGTTATGGAAGAGATCAGAAAGAAGAAAGAATGAGATAGCGTGAAAGTTCATTCAAGCATGCCTGATGTGATCAGCTTTCATAGCCTGCTGCAGCTCACACCTCTGTCTTTAGGTTCAGTGTGACAAGATGACAATCTTCCTGTCCCTCCACAGAACAACTGCCCTAACGTGCATCGATGTGTATTTGAGTTAATGTACAGCTCAATCTCATATGATGCTAATCTCACCCGGCTAAAAGGAACGCCTAAGGTAGTTTGCTAAAAACAACCGTGAATCTTTTCAGCATCAACTTAATCAAAAATCCCACTGGGATAGGAACTGAGTGGAATAACCAATGAACAAAAGCTGAAACGATTAGCGTCGCATTTGTAGACGAAGTAAGCAAATTTGAATATGCAAAAGCATGTTAATGGCTGCTAATGCTTATGCTAATCTTGCATTAATATTAAAAAAATGCTAATATATTAATATGCTGAGTAAACATGATAATCTGGCGCTGACATTTCTGCCTGCATGCTAATAGTGCCACAAACAATGATAAGATGAAAAAGCTGATTGCCAACCAAAATGGAAAATTAAAACATTAATTTATTTTTAAACAACCCCTTGTTGCGTTAAGATGCTAATCTTTTCTTTTTAAAACCAATAAATAAAAATAAAAAGAATAGCCTAAAAAAAACATTTGGGTGATGAAAGAAAACCAACCCTTACAAAAAAACAACAATGTTAAAGTAATAATTCACTCAAAATTTTACTCACTCTAAGGCAGGCATGGGCAAACTCAGTCCTGGAGGCCCACAGTCCTGCAGAGTTAAGCTCCAACCCTGATAAAACTTCATGTAGCCTTCTAGTAATCCTGAAGACATTGATTAGCTTGCTCAAGAGTGTTTGATTAAGGTTGGAGCTAAACTCTGCAGGACAGTGGCTCTCCAGGACCGAGTTTGCCCTTGCCTGTCTAAGGTCTTCCAACAAGTAGATGAGTTTGCCTGTTCATCAAAACAGATTTGGAGAAATTTAGCATTACATAACTTGCTCTCATACGGATCCTCTGCAGTGAATGGGTGCCGTCAGAATGAGAGTCCAAAACCGCTGATAAAAACACCACAATAATCCACACAAAACCAGTCCATCAGTTATCATCTTGTGAAGTGAAAAGCTGCATGTTTGTAAGAAACAAATGCATCAAGACGTTTTTAACTTTAAACGGTTGCTTTCGACCAAAATATGAGTCCTCTATCCATAATATTGCTTTCTCCAGTGAAAAAAAGTTGTCTCGTATGAATCAGGAGAGAAATATGCAAAGATCAAGCACAGTTTACAAATGAAAACAGTCCAAAACAAACAGGTCTAATCAAATATATTGGTGAATTTTGATGTAAAAGGACACCAGAGGATGGACTTTTTCCACTGGATGAACTGTTATTAGGGATTAAGGACTCGTATTTTGGCCAGAAGCGACATTTTAAAGTTAAACGCCTTAATGATGGATTTGTTTCTTACAAACATGCAGCTTTTCACTTCACAAGACATTAAAACCAGTTAAACTCTGCGGACCCGGATACGGGTCCAAAGTCACGTTAAAAATGTGTATGCTTCATTTACATAGCCTTCCTTATATGGTATCAGCCCATATATGGATTCATTTGAAAGCTTGGAGTGTCTTTTTTACAAAGAATACCATTCCTTTTGGTTTTTATATTCATAAAGCAGTAAAATTGAGCTTAGAAATTTATTCGTCCCACACACAATTTTCCGCCTAGCCATTGCGAACTTTTTTTACGAAGAATGTGTATTTGATATATTTTTTACAATAAAGTCAAGTCATATATCACAAGAAAGCTCTCATTCTCAGGAATTTCATAATGTAGATTATTTTATTGTGTGACAATCATAGATCGAATTATCTTCAATTGAATTGCGATGAAAAAAAAAAAACTGATTGTGTAACATTTCTACTCGTAGCACTGCTTCAGTTAGCCGCAAACAGCCACAAATATCTATAAACTCTATATTACCTTTTAGATTAGGATCTCTTCTTTCAAACAAGACCATTTTCAGGTTTCTGCGTGCTTCCATCGGTGAGATACTGGAGAGCATGTGATGTAACGCTAAATTTCTCCAAATCTCTTTAAATGAAGAAACAAACTCATCTACATTTCAGATGTCATCAGGCGGAGTACATTTTATTTTTTGGGTGAACTAATCCTTTAAAGGTGGGGTAAGCAATTTCTGGTAGCCAATGTTGACATTTAAAATCACCAAAACAAACACGCCCCTACCCCAAAAGGGTCTCGCCCCTATTTTGATAGCTCCACCCCACACATACATACGCAACCCAGGCAACGATTAGTTCTGTGAAACAAAGCAAAACCAGTGTTACACCGTGTCTACACCGGACGCGAGTGGCGCGGCGCGACAAAATACTACAGATCTCATAATCAGTGATGCTGTCTACACCATAGATATACATATCTATGGTCTACTACACTTGATGCGGCGCGGTACGACAGAAAACTGCTGCTGTGTTCTATTCATGACGGATTGACACGGATTGATGATTTTCAACGGTCGCTTTGTCGCGTCCAG